AAGCGATTGCAATCAACAAAAAACGTTAAACAAGGGAAAACTGAAGCTCAAGATCTCTAACTAAAGATACCAGCAATTCGTTGACTTTGCCATTTGAAATCAATGATCTAAAATAGCTTATCATTTTACAGATTTTGGGATTGCGTTCCCCTTCCCCTCCCCAATCCCTTCAAGCAGTAATTGAAATCGGTGCGTATGTACCGTACATTAAGCAAACAAGGAGAGAAATTTATCTATCCTGAGGACGCAGTGGCGTACCGAGGAGGCCCCCCCCCCCCCCGAGAATGGGTCGCGAAATTTTTGAAAGTTACTTAAACGTGTTATAGAAATGTGCAAGCGACTTGTTTTTACTTGTAAATGATTAAAATAATTTTTAAAAACTTATAAAAATACAACTTAACCTTCTTGTAAAATTTTGGGGTCAGAGGCCCGAAAAAATTTTGGGGAGCATCCCGATAAATTTTCGGAGTGCGTGACTAACGCTAAAAATTTTTGCCGCTCCCCCCCCCCCCCCCCCGAGCCGAAATCCTGGGTTCGCCACTGCTAGGACGACATTTAGGAGCATTCACGAATATTCTAAAAATTAGTTGTGTCAAAGAATAATCAAAATAATGACCTCAAACTTGTGATTTAGCGATGCTAATTTAGCGTTTTTACCTGATCTTACAGTCATAGCTGGTCAGTTAACATATTGTCATATTTTCCAGATTATTTCAGTTACTTCTGAAATGGTAAATTGCAAAGGCCACAAAGTGCAGACCGCATCTTTTTTCATACTTAAAAATTTCAAATTGCAGCACAAAGTCACATGGCGCTTCATCAACTACAAAGAACACATAAAAAATGCTGACAGCTGTCGAAATACGAATAAAAAAATTTTTGGCACGAGGATATGTGCTGTAAGAGCCTGGCGCACGTGGGAAGGACTTCGTTGTGGATGGGGCCTGTTCTATTAGGTTAGCTCGAAAGTTCTGGGACATTTTCGAACTAGATCTGCTATTTCTCGAAACTTAACGCATATGCATCAGGTAAGGCACCATTCGATAGAGCAAAGCAAGCTCTACAAGATGGTATGCAAAAGTTCGCACCAGCTTCGACCCACCGTAAATTTGCACCCAAAATCTGAGTCGTATCAAAATTCAAATATCGCGAAAAATTCATATCTTTGTTCAAACAAATCCTACGGATCTCCAACTTGCTCACAAAAATTGCACACTACATCAAACACTCAGATGCACCGTTGCTGTGTTTTTTCCTCATCTATAAATCGAGAAAATGAAAATTTTCTTGTTTTCACAAAAACGAAGCTATGCTGCTCCCACTCATGTAATTATATAGTACAAGCCCTTAGAAGTATAACCGTAATTTTTCAGCTTTCCGTAAGCCCTAGTTGTCGAAAAATATTGTTTTTAGCATGAAACGCCCGAGTGAGGAGAGCTCAATTCGGTAATTTTCGGGAACTAGAGCCTGTAGAAAGCTGAAAAATTACGATTATACTTCTAAGGGCTTGTACTATGTAATTACATGAGTGGGAACAGCATAGCTTCGTTTTTGTGAAAACAAGAAAATTTTCATTTTCTTGAATTCTAGATGAGGAAGAATTACAGGAACGGTGCATATGAGTGTCTGATGTGGTATGCAGTCTTTGTGAACAAGTTGGAGATCCCTAGAATTTGTTTGAACAAAGATATGGATTTTTCGCGATTTTTTGATTTTCAGTACGACTCAGATTTTGGGTGCAAACTTACGGTGGGTCGAAGCTGGTGCGAACTTTTGCATACGATATTGTAGAGCTTGCTTTGCTCTATCGAATGGTACCTCTACCTGATGCATATGCGTTAAGTTTCGAGAAATAGCAGATCTAGTTCGAAAATGTCCCAGAACTTTCGAGCCAACCTAGTAGAAAGGGTTGAGAGACTAGACGGTGAGGTAACCGTGTACGATGTGAGCCTATTTGAGGTGAATGCGCCAGACATTTTTTTCAGCCGAGGGCATTGTGCTCGTTGAGGCCCATAAAGCAAAAGCGCTAATGTGTCCGTTCCCAAGAACGACTAGATCTGCAGAGTTATTGCGAGAAAGCAAAAATATCACGCAGATTTATTGCAGCCATGAGACTAAAATTGCAAACGCGAGATGGGATGTTAAAAGGCAGAGCGCTATTAAAGCATGTTGGAAAGATTAAATAGGCCATGAATAAGTTTTGCAGACGTACATTAGGCGGACTCAAAAAACATTCTGCTGCAGATTGATGCCTTCCTGCAAAACATTTCTTCCTAAAAATGTAATGTGATGCCATTTTCATAGAAGGAGATGGAAGCATAATTGCAAGTCAATGTATACAGATGTAATGATGTCGTGTTAATTCTTTTTCCTGATGCCATTTGCTTGCTTAGAAGGAAGTGAGTGCTTGACATTGAAAATTGGTTCATAGACTTGTTAGCAAAACTAGAAGTTTTCAATGAAATGACGGATACAAACGTAAAATGACTTTCAGTTTTGTGTGAAGCACAAATTTTATTGTATGCCATGTGGAAATTAAAGGGCAACAAGATTCGGAAGTTCTTATTGTAGAATTACTGTAGATAGTCTCAGTGCTGTTTAAATATGAAAATCTTAAAGAGCTTCCGAATATTTTGGTCTTTATTGTCGTAGGGATTTCGTTCCCTGAAAAATTTGCTGTGGTGACATTGCCATAATTACCGCTCTGAATCAATTTGAAAACGATTATTGTAAAGGAGTTTGGAGAGGCAAAACTGACATGATTTTGGTTTACTAGCAAAACAGTAATCAAAGGTGCTATAGGGAACTGCAGGATCGCGAAAGTCGGACGTGCGTACGGCCATTGCGCCGCGCACGTTAGATGTGCGTCCGACCACTCAAGTAGGTGCCAGACTTATCGTTTGAACAAATTCATTCGGTTCACCACCTTTGCTGTCGGACAGTGTAGTGATTTGATCTATGAAACGAACGAATCAGCTGAGTCTGACACCTGCCTTAGTGACATCAGACCCTTTTAAAAAGAGCGATACCGCCCTCTGATACAAAGAACAGGAACTGGAGAAGCTGTGATGAGTGTTATGCCCGCACCAGCCTCATCTATTGCTACGAATATCGCCCCAAATGTTCGCCAACGGTGAATTAGTGCAAGCGAACGACGTATTTCTGCAGACTTACAACATTCCAACGTGGAGCGGCGCAGCCGGTGGGCAAAAAACGCGAACGCGTCGAACGACCAGTTCCGACGAATAGTTGTCGCGACGTGCTTGTACGAAAGAGTCGCAGGAAAAAACTGCGATGTATGAGCTGCGGAAACAGTGAAGAGACAGAATGAACACAGAGTGTGGAAAAACGTGCATTACTATTAGGTGTACGGCTGAGTAATTTTATGAAGTCCTATGTGCAATCGCAGACATCATCCATACTGCGCATTTTAGCTCGGGTTTTCTTGGCCATTTTGGAAACTTCCGGCAGTATTTTACAAATCTTGTTGTTGGCTAAAAACAAAGAGTGAGACACCACAAAACAGCAAGAGTGCGCTCCGCGGCCTGCAGAAACCAAAACTATACGCGCCGTTGCGGAGATGTGCAGACTCATATATTACGTCATTAATTAGCTCATCTGCACGAGGGCGTGTACTACATTCACCACTGCGATCTGTGATTTGCTAAAGTGCGAAGCCACTAATGAAGACTAGATTTCGGTGCTAATGAACAAAGAAAAGAAGGGGATGCAGAAGAGGGGAGGGAGTGGGAGGGGGTAAGGAAGAGCGAAGTGCAAAGCCATAACATCATCTTCTTCTGCTTCGGTATCGTAATGCAAAACGAACGATGCAAACTTTACACTCTGCACTTGGACGATCTGAAAATTTTTTGCAGCGGTATGTGACACTGCTAGACGAACGCATTGACAAATTGCTTTTTTCCTGGCAAGTCAGAAATGAAAAGTCAAACAATAAGCAGTCCGGAAGTGAAATGTCACATTGTGCGAGAATCTCATTTACGAGTTTTTCCAGTTAGCGAAGAGGTAATGGGGGCTGGCTTTCTTCAACGTCAATGAATCATCTGGAAATGCAGCAGGAAATGAGAACAAAGGAAAAAAAACCATAGATTACTGCAGAGAGAAGGTGCAAGAGCCAAACGATTACTGAGTATAAATCAGTAGAAGCAAAGCAGAAGAATAGATCTTGCTGGCTCCAAAATGAAGAACGACTATAGCGTGCATAGTAGGTCTCAATCACACCGCCGCGCATAATTCAAATTGACCTTATGGATAGCAGCTCAGCACATGACAGCATTGCAACAACTCGCGGTGTAGATACATAGCCGCAGGCAAGAAAGACAATGCGATTGAGACAGACCGTTCGGTTCTTTCGCTATGATAGGCAGAGAAATGGAGAACGGTTCTAACTCTCAGGCAGAGAAATGGAGAACGGTTCTAACTCTCATGTGCCTTATAGAATTACGCAGGAATATTGCACTTGGTGAGAGCGCACTTTACCAAAGCATAGCTCATTTTACGCAAACTCGAACTACAAGCTACTGTATCCATCTAACACGTGGTCGAATAGAGGGAGACGAATTCTCGAAGATGGGCTTGTTAAGGAACAAAATAAGGAAATTTTGAAATTCTGAAAGTTGCAGAATGCGCTAAAGAGCAGCAAGAACGACCTGCAAAATAAACCTTAACTAATAATTTGTCGTCAGATCGCTTTCCAGCGAAGAAGAAGATCAAGACTTTTATTCGGTAATGCATGGGTAGAGAATTGAGCAAACCCAGCCATACATAAAGCAGCGCAACCACTATGAATGACCGAGATGGATGTGATATTCGCATGCTATTGACGTAGCAAATTGCACTTAGATGGAACTCCATGATCGAAACGGCAAATATGAGAATGGGCTATCCTGTACCATTTATCGAGCACAGCTATGCACTTTGGTGAACGTTCTGGGAAAAAGAATATGGAGAAACCCAATAAATTTGCGAATGACCTTTATCGTCACTGAAGAATTACATAAAAACAGCTGAAAAGCCCAAAGTCATCTCGGATAACTTTTCCTAGACCCGAAATCAATCTGAGCCTTAGACCACGGAGCTCAGCACACTTTTCTTAATAAAGAAAAGGTATACTGATTCAAGACCGGAGCACCATCGATGGAAGGAAAAAGCAACAAAATGGATCTGCACTCCGCTGCTTCGTCCTTTTGGCTCATCGAAGTGGGGCGTGGCTGATATAACCTGAAGCGTAGAGTCGATGCAGGACACACAAATGTAGCAAAGCATAGAAAGTAATTGAAGCGTAAAATGAAGAAGCTTTTATAATGCACTTAACCGTTGTCTATAAAAGTTTCACTTGTAGGTGGATGGCGACAATGCTGTATCTATAGATAGCAAAATTATATATGCTTCATAAGATCGCTATATTTCCAAAAATGAACTTGTTTAAAGGCATGCGATTGCAAATGGACCTGCGTTAGTCTTGTCATAAAAGAAATTTACGAGGTCGAACACTAAAGCGAATTTTTTCCAATAAAACCCCATAACGTTTGAAAAAAGTATCTCCCAAATTTTGCTGTTATTCCAACAGATTACCTTTTTATGACACATTTTTAATTGATGTCTCATCGAGGGCAGTGGAAACTTGAACAGATCCTGTACCAAGAAATATCAAAATAATTCTAAAACAGGAGTGGGGGCTTGCAGGCTTATAAAGCGAAGAATATGTTTTGTTGCCGCGCAGGAGTACATAACGATTAAGGAATAGGAGAATCATGTGCGATCTTTCTGGTTTGTTGACGCAAATCCCTTTCGTGGGGCCATTTACATGTTATAAATTTAATGACAGAAAGCTCAATGGGTTTAAGAGAAGGTCCACGCATTAGAATATAAACAGTCACGTCTCCGGAAAAAGATTTCATAAGGCTAACTTGAATTTGGAAATTTTTAAGAATTGATTCACAAGTGAAAACAAGTTGCCTGCACATTTTATAACATATGCAACTTTCAAAAATTTTGCGAGACCCCCCCCCTCCCCCTCAGTGCGCCAATGCATATTTCGTATATGTATAAATTTGTGCGTACATAGCTTTAGCCCTCCTCCGTCTACGAACCGTTTTTTGCGCCCACATCCCCCCCTCTATTCTTTTTCAACAATAGCAATTCATGTTGGCGCGCTGCTTCTCAGACATTTACACGTAGCTCAACGGGGAGCAAAAACGTAGACGACATGCATATTTTATATAATCTAAAAAAGCAATTGTATGTCATTGTTCACGTGAATAATGTGATACAAGCCGCTAATGTATATGATCGTTCAGATTGATTGAATTCCGTGTTGTAACACATTGGAGGAGGCAATTTTTCAAGAAACAAAAATGACGCATAAACATGGCTCAGCGATGTGCTGAAGACTAATGCGTTCGAGAATCCATTAGCCAGAACCTTTTATTTTGCATTTGCAGGCGAGACATATATTTCATTCCAATCACGTCGCCACTCCTGATTTATTGCTGATGTGCAAAAGCTGTTTGAAAATGCGCTTTGCTGCAAAGCGCAAATGAATCAAATGTAAAGTTTCTGCATAAACTGAACAGTCTTTGTTTTCATATTACAACATCATCGGACCGCTGCTGGTATATCATTTTAATGATTGACAGATAATTATTCATGAAAATTGCCGAAATTTTGAAAGTTTTTGTTGGAATAAAAATGAAGTACTTACGTTAGATTGTGCATACTTCCTCCTATTCCTAGATGAGTGCGACGATTCGAGTCACGTTCCGGTGAATGATACGCTAAAAACTTTATTCGACGCTGCGAATGATTTTGAAGCTCAAGTAAAGACTGCAAATTCAGGAGTTCATATTTTGTAACGTTACTAAGCTCACATACAGTGAGTTTCGACCCGCTTTAGGCGGAAATTGGATTGGCGGGCGTCCGCCTCGCCTCGTTCGCGCCGTTTCGCAGCTACAGTACATCATATCGCGCTGAGAACCCAAGTCTGCGTCTCTTCATTCTCCTCAGTCTTTGCTTGGCAAAATGCCAGCGCTATGCGCTTGCGAAGCCTCCTGCGATGCGCACACGCTGCTCCACTTAGAATCTTTCGCCTAATCCGGGATGAAACCGACTGTACACGTATTTTTGCTCCGCATTTTGCTTAAAAAGGCAAGTTGTGGGGCAATCATTAAATCAAAAATCTGTACTTATTACGTTTTCCTTCTTGCGAACGATTTCTGATGATTTTCATTCGAATATGTGGGTTTCGAAAGCCTTCTTGCACAGCACGTCACTGTATGATGCTGTATCCAGCTCCGACGAAGTATCCTCTGATTTAGCCAGATTGGCGGCTGGTGGATGGGGCTAACGTCTGGCGCCATCTAAATCTACTTAACCAGCTGCGCGGGCGGTCGCGCGCGCTCCTCAATGCGTGGCGGGACCTAGGGTATTGAGCTTGGGCCACGCTTGCTCACTCAAACTTGAAATTCCCGGTTGTGGATGTTATGCATTCTTCCTGCTGTCAGCATCGATGTTAGAAGAGATATATAAATGGTCTTTTAATTTTCATTTGAATAATTTTCAACTCAGCGCTATGTCCAAAGCTTAACATTCACCTGTATTGAGACGAGAAGTCTTCTTTAGCTTAAGTGGTTAGGAAGTGTGCAAAGTGCATAAGACGTTTTTTTCTTCCAAGTAGGGTTATCTTGCAGTAAATGACGTCACCTCTTTCATATTGTTTTCGTTGTGCTGTTACACGGCAAATGGCCGTCATTCTATGATTGGAGATGTTTCCTGACTGTACTGATTTGTATGCGCTACAATGGACTCACCTTGCCCCCCAGAACCTTTTCATATGCAGCATTTATAATATTCTATCGCTAGGTTTAGTCAAGAGAAGGCTGAGCGGTTTAATACCTATCCTCATATCCTTGAGTTCTTGCACTTCGGTCTTTATAGGGCCTACAATTGAGCCGTTGCTAACGTATCCATTATCCATTGTGAATAGAAGATTTGAGAGAGCTTTGCACTCACAAGTTGATACTGTGATCTCATTGTGCATAATCTACCAATTAGCTTCAGCTTTATCAGACAACGTTCGGCGTTCTCGATTCCTTGATCATGAACCACTGTTTTGTCTTCTCTATGGGATTTTGTTGGAAAGGGAATTGACAGTTTAGGCCTGAGTATGAGACAGCATTGTTCTATTTGACAGTTTGTCTAACTAGTCTCTGAAACTTCGATTACGCTGGTAAAGAAAAAATGAAAAGTGCATTTTGTTCTATGGAGAAAGACTAGTAATCAAACATCTGACAGCATTTAAAACGATGCGAAACGTACCAACGAAATAAGCAATATTAATTTTTCGGAGTGGTATTAGTTCTTCTTCGGAAAAACATGATTTTAAGCAATACAGGAAGAGTTTCACACTGCTGAAAATGTACACTCAGCGCGCGCTGAGGCTCTCATACAGTCATGCCCTTTCACAGGAACGTCCGCTGCAAAGTAGCTCCACCAGTATGAGAATGATATAATATTTTGAAGGGAGAAAAACAAAATATGCACTTGTGAGAATGTTATTTGACTTTTCAAGTTTCGAAAGATACAGTGTAACTTGGCCAACCGCGATTTTCTAGGTTTGGGCGAGCAAGCGTAGCCCAAGCTCAATGTGCTAGGTCCTACCACGCAGTTAAAAACGCGCGCGACCGCCCGCGCAGCCGGTTAAGTAGATTTAGATGGCACCTGACGTCTGCGCGAACGCCTCGGGTGGCTCTGCACCCTCTTTCGCGATCGCGCTCTCTAGTGATCAAAGCTTCGCCTTTGTTCGTAATGGGGGATTAGAGAGCAGGCTCACAAAGGAGGTGCAGAGCCCATCCCCGCCCTCCAGCCGCCAAACCCGCTAAATCAAAAGGTATCTTACCGCACTTAACGCGTGAGCAGTTATCTTGCGTTTAGGGCTTATGAGGTTTGCGATAGCATCGGATAAAATGAACCTTCGATACAGCTAGCCTTTTTCATAGGACCTGTCAAAAATATTTCTCAGTACTTACAATTAGTGATAGCGTAAAATTTGAATCTAGAAAATCTAGCTCAAATACCATTTATTTCCTCAGTGATATGAAACCTAGATCGGATGATTACTGCACTACATATTTTCTTTCCTGAGATTACCTCGCTATTCTGCTTCAGCACGCTTTATGGTATGAGGACTTAACCACTTATAAGATTACCAGAAATAAAAGAAACTGAAGCAGCTAAAACATGGACAGCTATAAATAGATTTTTTTGACACTAGAAATTAAGCACAAAGCGGTACAGTTTTTTTTTCTTTGTCACAACTATTGCTTTAACTCACAGCAGCACAAAAATAGGCAGAAGCCAGAGGTGGTTCGCTGATCTCTTATTTTTAAACGTTTTCATTATTAATGAACATGTATAGAGACAGCTGTCATAAAGGATTTATAGATTCGCACTGGTCTAACGCAAAAAAAGACAGTGTTCGTAGAAAAAAGTGAAACCGAGGCCAGACTACATTGCAAAAAAAACGCCCACTGCATTATCTTCTTTGATAGGTCAAAGTCTCATATTTATTTTTTGATGACGTTGTATGTAACTTAGGCATCAGCACGATTGTAGCGGGGAAAGTCAGACAATTACCCTATTTTCAGGTGTATAAGCCGCACCCTTTTCACTCTAAAGGCGAACACGCCAAAAGACTGACTGTCATCATGGAGCGCGTAAAGTGAGAGCAGTATGCGATAAGGCGACCGCTTCGCGAGAGGTAGGCGCGGCGGCACGCCTGGGTCTGCTCGCGTCTAGAGCAAAAAGGGTGCGGCTTATACACCTGAAAATAGGGTAGATGATTTCTGCCTGCACTTTCGAGTTGACAAAAAAAGTATAAACACCGTCATACCTTCGATACATAAAGTAATGTACTCTGGTAATCTTCACTTTGAGCTTCATGATAGAATACAACTTTCACCTGCATAGAAGTACAGAAGTAATCGGCGAAGCCCCTAATGACATAACCATAAGGGGTGAATGTGAATGAAGCAAATATAGTAGTGACATCCAAAAGAAGCTCAAAAAACCGAAGGATTGCTTTTTATGGCCTTTTTTTGCTAAAAAAGGTTTTATCCAAAAATCCAGTTAGAAACTAGGACAAAATTCCTCAATTAACCTTTTTCTAGACTGCGATTGAGCGTTGAAAGTTCATGAAAGCCGCTAAGGCTCAATAAAAGCGAGAAACTGCGCTCAAATCTTGCGCAGAGAGTCGCCACATAAATGCTGGTCTAAGTCGTTATGGAGTGATTTCCAAGTCCCGCGACGTTATCAGTTCTCCTGGCCCTCTCATGAGGATCACAACGATATATAATGTTATAGGGTTTCGTTATGACCTCGCGGAGATCAATGACCAGAGATAAATGCCCCGCCGGCTCTGGTCTGTCTCCGCTGCTCGTCTGCGTCGCCGCGCGTTGTGCGCTACCTCGCTACCTCAAATGCGGGGCGCGGGGCATTTGGCTCTGGTACCCTTTTCTTCATTGTTCGGAGCCCAATTACGACAGTATGTATATCATATTAAAGCTCTTGATCTCTATTTTCAGGCTGACAACGTCGCAAGACTCCTTCTTATGATTTAAACAAGAAATCTCCAAAAAACTCCGTTTTCGAAAACCTCTTGTTTTTCTTCAATTTAACTTTTTCAAACGGCTTTTTTATGTAGTCGATAGGTCTTGTTTTTGTCTATGATGTAGCCAACGTCGCCGAGCTTACTTCTTTGCTTATGCCGTTTTTTTGTGAAAATTACTACAAAGTGCGTTTTTCTTTACCTTGTTCTCTTTCAGTGCTTTCGCAACTAATTTTTTCCAACTTGAATGATACTTACTCAGAATGATGAGCGGAAGAATCTAGACAACGTCACAGGATACAAAACGACTATGCGGGGGTGAAAATTTAAAGGACGCATCAAAAATTAGATTGGCGTCGATGTGCAACATATCTTTTTAGACGTGTTTAATATGTTCAATTCAGTTGTTGACAAGTTTTCCTTCTTTCGGCCTCCCAACTACCGCCACAGCTAAACAGCGCTTCTTTAATTGGAAAAGAACTTTATTCTTGTTGCCACCCACTCTAATGGCAATCCTGAAGAAACTGTGCATAGAAAACCACCAACTTATGCTTTCAAATTTAGTGATGTTAACCTCTGCTTTATATAAATTTTTCAAGTTTTCTGATTTGATTCATATCTTTAAATTCTCATCTATTTTTCTAGAACAACCTTCACTTTTTAAACGGAGCAGAAACTCAAACAACTATCACTTTCTAGCCTCTGTCTCTTGACTGTCGAAGGTATGAACACCGTTTTATGGTATGCATAGGTCACGCCGATTTGAAATGCGACCATCGTTTTCTGCTGTCTTAGCCCTGGGCTTACCTCACACGATTCCGGTCGCGACGCGATTTGGCAAACTCCAGTTGTTGGCAACTCATCGTAAGGAGTTTCTGAGTATATGGAAGACAGGGTGTACTATTAAACTAAAAGTCGTCCTTGTGCATTTGAGCCTTCTAGATTTGAATTTGAATACACCTGGCAAACTGCCAGATCGCGTGGCGATTAAAATCGCGTGAGATACACCCACGGCCTGAGGCTCTTGGCTCTTTTTGAAGTATTATCGGTAAGGGCTCCATTCACTTCAAACTGCGGCACTTCATTCTGGTGCAAAGTTACGGTAACCTGCGGTAATGGTGCAAAAAGGCCATGTCGCTTAAAGTGTGGATGTTCGCACTGATAAGATTCAAGAAGTTTATCAACGTTGTTCATGAATTTGCGAGTTTACTCACCGCTTCTGACTTTCCGATCTTCTGAAGGTTGCTGAAGACGTGACATTGATCGCGAATCATTCATAACTTGGTAAAAGCAAGCGGCCGAGTTCCAACGAGCGGTACTGTAAGTATACAGATTCTCAAAAATCACCAGTTCTTGTTCCCAGGAAAATATTGTTACGTTTAAGACAAATTGCTTTCCTTCGCAAAATGAAATATTGACGAAGTTGAGGACTTGAGATGGATTAATAACCATGTCATTAAATACATTTTGGGAACATCTGAGCCTTAGCATAAATCATTTACTGTGATAACTGCTGGCAATTTATTAATTTTGACGAATTGGTCTGGTGATAGTTTCGGAGATTACTGAGGTTAGATCAAGTTCAGTAAAACCAGAATCTTCCGATAAGATGAGAATCATGTGAATTCACCCAATTTCGGATGACGCAAATACGAAATTCGATATGGGTAGAATCTTCAGATGAGGTTTACCATTCATACCCAGAACTGACCGGGACCTCCCGGAGACCGCCAAAGTTCCGCAGGGTCACCTACAGATCCGAAGAATGCGAAAGACAACAGCAAAAGAGAACATCGTAGCGATACTTGGAACTTATTCTATTGACTGTCAGACTACACTCACCTACTATTCTTTGCACTACGGATGACATGTTTGATAATTCACTATAATTGTTGGCGAGGCGAGAGAACACAATCGCTGGCATTCTTCAAAAGTTCCGCAACGCTTCTAAGAAGCCCTGAGGAAGCTCCCGTATTTAGCCAGTCTGATGTGAAAATCACTTTGCAACCATAAACAAAATCCTGCGGAACTTTGCAAATTTTGCTTGTCTTCCGGAAGTTCCGGTGAATTTGTGAGTATAGCTCTATCACAATATTCGCCTAATATCCAGAAAAGTTTCTGAAGTGAGCTTTTTGAATCACAGTTATCATTTTGCACAGATCTTTTGGCACAACGTTTGTCCTTTTTACCTCAAAGACTGGAGATTGTATGGGAATTCGAATTTGCTCAAAAGTAAGAAACATGGATGCGAGGAGACGACTTTCTGTTGCATAATTGCAGACAATTGTCGGGAATCTTTCCTTCTCACCATAATATTAGGTTGTAACAAAATTAATGCAGGTTTTGAATTCCAACCGCAATAAGTCATACACTTCTCATTTCTAACTAGGTCGCAAAGTACCATTCGATAGAGCAAAGCAAGCTCTACAAGAAGGCCATCTTGCTTTAGCAACAACTCTGATCCACCATGAGTTTCGAGCCAAAAACTAAAAAGATTCAACTGCCCGAAAAATTGAGAAAAATCGTAACTTAGTTCATAAAAGACCTACAAAAATTCTAACTTGCTCAAGTAAACGCTATTCACATAAGATATCTATATACGCCTTTGCCGTATGATTTTCTCTGTTAGAAATCAAGAAAACGGAAATTTTCGTGCGTTTGTCAAAGTGATGCTGTGCCGTTTCCACATACGTAGTTGTATACTACAAACCTGTAGAAGTATAAACGTAAATTTCCGGCTCTCTACAAGCTTTAGTTCTCGAAAAATATCGAATGCAGTTTTTGCTAGTCATGTGGTCCAAGCTAAAATTCAAATTTCTCGAGAACTAAAGCTTGTGGAGAGCTGAAAATTTACGTTTGCACTTCTACAGATTTGTAGTATACAATTACTTATGTGGGAACGGCACAGCAACACTTTGGCAAATGCACGAAAATTTCCGTTTACTTGATTTCTAACAGAGAAAAAAAAATGCGGCAAAGGCGTATATAGATGACTTATGCGAATAGTGTTTACGTGAGCAAGTTAGAATTTATGTAGGTTTTTTATGAACTAAGTTACGATTTTTCTCAATTTTTCGGGCAGTTGAATCTTTTTAGTTTTTGGCTCGAAACTCATGGTGGATCAGAGTTGTTGCTAAAGCAAGATGGCCTTCTTGTAGAGCTTGCTTTGCTCTATCGAATGGTACTTTGCAACCTAGCTAGAAATAAGAAGTTTATGACTTATTGCGGTTGGAATTCAAAACCTGCATTAATTTTGTTACAACCTAATAGTTGGTTTCTGTTTATCTATCTTACGTCAGAATTTCTCCCGTTAATGCATACGATTACAATTTTTATTAATCAACTCTTAAACATGTTGGAACATGTGCTGCATAGCTTTCTAATATTCGGTATATAAAAAGTATTGGCTCGTGATTACAGTCATATGCTTGTGAGCAAAATACGCAGAGATACACGACAAAAAAGAAAGCACATATGAGTTGCTTAGAATGCACGTGGTTTGTATATGTAAAAAAATGCTTACACATTCCCTTGTTTTTTCGTTTTGTAAATGTGTAGTAAACAGGCCCATAAATGATAGGATAGGACTGAACAACCGAGTCCACATGACATTCTCAGACAATTCACCCGGAACTTCCGCAGGACAAGCCAAATTTGGAGAAGTTTCGCAGGACTTTGTTCAACATTGCAAAAGTGTAAACGTTGAAAATCGGAACTTTCGCAGGGTTTTCACGTCAAACTGGAAATGGAACCGCAGGGCGCTGTACAAAGCGCTGCGGATATTATGAAAAATGAAAGCGTTTCCGCAGCACACCTGCCAGTACTTGCGCAAATTGTGCCTTACGATGTTGTCTCATTAACAACTAGTGTGCCTTGTCGACCATGTCATTGGTAGCATATAGGATGGTGAGTGTCCCGCCGTCATTGGAGCAAGGTTCGAATCTCACTTAGGTGTCCCCTTTTGCTGTTGTGGTTCGCATCTAAGGAACTTCCGCAGTACCTCAATTTGAATCTTCCGCAGCACGTTTACGGAACTTCCGCAGGTGAATCGGCGGAACATTCCCAAACGATCTGCGGATTCAGTCAGTTGTCTAAGTAAGGTGATTTAATTGTGAGACGCAATAAAAAGAACTAAAAACAAAAAAAGAATCATATAATGATGTAGGTGAATCAGCATAGCATTACGTACATATTGAACAATCTCAACAAAACTGAGCAGTTCCAAAACGGTCCCGGTCAATTATCACTATCGCCATTTACTCAATGCACAAGGAACATTCAACCGTTTCCCAGACCAAGCTCCTATCTGAAAAACACGATAAATGCCCGGAAAATTATATAGAAATTGATGTGAGATTTACTCAGTAGAAACCCGCGTTATTCAGCTCAAAGAGCAGCTGAGATATTCGGTAACAAGCCTTTCATGGAAATAGGTGACTGATTACCCATTAACAGTGAAATATTCAATGTAAACAGGTTGAATGCTCGCACTCACGTGAAGCTCATGCCCTTTCGTTTACATTTCGCAAAAGGCATCAAAATTCAATTACACTTCTTATATCTGTGCCAAAGGGCACTAAGTCATAAAAGTAAAGCGTGATTATAAGAAAGATGTCAAACATAGCATTATGGCTGGGGTTTTCCAGAGGATTTTCAAAGCTACAAGCTAAGACGAATATGAGAACCTTTGACGCAGCTGCCTCTCAAAATCCTCGTCTATGATAATAAATCACAAATCTTTCAAAGCTTCATATGTTTGAACTCATTTAATTTAATGATTGCACATATGTAAGCCTAACACCAGAAATAATCAAAGGTATAAGAAAATTCGCATAAGAAGGCGTCCTCTGCGTTCAAAGTTACCCATACCAGTGTTGTTCCAGCGCCGGGTCGACTGTACATAGTGAGTCCCGGGAATCCGGCACAGCGCTGGAACGACACTGGCAACCACGTACAAGGGCATCCGGGCGCAGCCTAATTAGGTTATCCAATTTTTGAAGGTTTTATGATGAGAAAGATTTATGAAAGAGCGCTCGATGTTTTAAACTTGAGCTCCTCGATTTGCTCTTCATTTACCGTGTTTCTGAATATACGAAGTAAAAGTTATACCACACTTCCAATACTTAAAAAAGAACGAATGCGACACATTTTGGCACTTATAATGTGGTAAAACGACAAAATATTATTATTTCTGATAAATAATTTGATCTCAGACATCTTATAACACTGAATCGCCATCCCGGAAATTGGAGCAAAGTCTTATTTCTATCGTCATAATGTGACTAAGCAAGAGGAAACAGCACTTGGCTACATTGGCTTTTTTGTTTCTTTGTCCTGAGTCTTATACTTTCTTATTACTCACGTGAGTCAACTGTTTTTCAGTGAAAGAGATGTGAAATAATTTAAAGAACATTTTGAGACGGAAAGTCCTTTCTGATAAGAGCTTCGAAGCGCATAGAACGAGCAGACGAGTTATCATGAACTACTGTTTTTTGTGATATCATACATCACTATTTTTCGTGATTTCTGCGTCCTTTCCGACAGAAATCTTCGATCTCAAATCAGGCTTCTTATTGAGTGTTAATATTTGATCTTCACGGAGCCTTGCCATAAGGAACCCGTACCTGAACTTTTCAGCCATAAAAATGGCGAGAGTGAGCTTTTCTTCAAGCTTTCCAGGTTCGCAGTCAGCAGAAAATACGTGTAAATGGGCGAGTCCGAAACGAGTGAAGCGGGGTGCGGAAAACTTCCGAGAAATTTCACTGAATGCGGACCTGAAGCTTCGAAAAAAGCTCATTTTCGTCATTTTCGTGCGCTGGAAAGCCCAAATATGGGTTCGTCATGGCGCAAAGAATACGAATAGGTACTGAACATTGCCCTGAAGTATGAACTCACTCTTCTTGATGATACATCGGAGATACGCCAAGTAGATCAGCAACGACATTTGCGCGGCTGCATGAACATGGAAGCGGACAGACGCATGACGATGGGATGAGTTTCTCGACGCACGAAGACATTTTGTTTAGATATCTAAAGCAGCTTTCTGAATTTCCGACACTGAAAGAAATGGAACTGTTTCGGGAAGAAACAAACAAATTGTAGGAGAAGAAAGCACCATGAAAAAATGACAGAGGTTTAATTGAATTCAAATGTAGAATCGCATAACACCTGGAATGTCGGGGAAACACTTATAACTAGTTTTAAGGGTTTTTCTCTTATTTCACTGCCAAGAAGATGTTGAATGGGTAACTAAATCGCAACCTAGGAAAGGCAGACAACCAGCGATTTCCTCAATTGCGATGTTTGATGGCTGTCTAGAGAACGATCCAAAATCTTGAAAAATGTATAGGAAATTTTTCACTGAGCTTGTTTAGATTCAAACGAAACGTTTCTTCGGTTTTAGTTAGATCATTTTACACAGAAGCAGACAGAGCTCGACAAAGGTGACTTACAAGCGAGCTGGATGTCGTTTTTGGGAAAAAAGAACATGGCTTCTGCGGGTCGGAAAATACAAGTACAGTTAGATTTATTTAGTCGATGTTTCGGTTTTTTAGGGCTTTTAGTCGATTTGGATAAGGGTTAAGGAGACTTCGTAAAATTTTGTAGAAACCCAGGAAACTTCCAGGAGGTTTTTTGCATTTTCGAAAAGCCACATCGTCCCGAGCGATGCAGAATACATTTGTAGTTATAGCAGCTTCTTGGGTGGGGGGAAGAGAGGGACTTTCTCAGGTGGTAAAAAATGCAGATACGGCTGTTCTCTATAATGAGAACCGAAATACTAGAGCATATGACAGTGCGAAAAGAGGTGTTACAATTGCATTCTAATAAAAATGAGAAAGGCTTGAAATAAATCTACTGCAAAACCCTATGCTAAAGCACTTAGTTCTGAAATATGGCCGAAAAGTGGACGAAGAGGGGCAGGAAGGAAAAAAAGAGAAGCAAGCAAGGAGTTATTATGACAGGAAAAGCCGAAAGTTGCCCATAGCATGATGTCACACATCCTTATAAGGACTTCCCTCGCGCCAGCGCTGTCGATACAAAAAAATATGACGTGGACATTCTCAAAATACGCATTGAAATAGTTGGTAGAAAACAGGAAAAGCTACCGTGAAGATGACTCAACTTTACAACTATCAAAAAAGGAAGTAAATTAGCCAAACTTGGCACTTTGATCAGACTTTGAATAAGAATTGGCAGATGCAAGAACGCAAAAAAAAGTTTGCAGGTCGATCGCCATTGTGAGATTCCATATGAATCAATGCTATTGCCATCGTTTTCTGTTATGTTCAATGCCTAGATTCTGCGAACAAAAGCTGTTCGGAGACATATGATAATGACGTGGAAAAGCTACAAAATGCTATCAGTATATTTGCCGCTTAGCGACATGGGAAAAGGAAAGGACTCTTAAACGTCTGGGAGATCTAACTTCATCGCAACAGTTCAAATCAAAAAGAATAAAAATTCCAAAATTGAGCCATAGAGGAAGAAGGAGGCGTTTCAGTGAGAGGAGTGGGGGGAGGGGAGAGAGAATAAAAGAGGAGGAGTGTAACAAAAAAGGCATTAGATCTTGTATGCGGATATTAGCGAGTGGAAGTGGTATAAAAGTGAGAAGACAAACCAAGTGGGTAACAATCAATCTTGTCAAAAATTGACAAAAATCAAAAGTGGGAGGGGCAGAAAGTAAAAAGAAGCATGATGGAGCTACTTTCATGGACTCAGATTCTTTGTATAAAGATTAGTGAACCAGTAATCTAAAGGTGCTAGACTTGCAGGCGCGTTCGCTGCGGGAGCCGCGCGGTTTCCCCAATTTTACCTCTTTTTGAATAGGCACAACGATTCTTTATTTATGGATTAGTCGAATTACATGTAAAAGAAGATCATGTACACATACGACAAATTGGGTGACTAAACTAGCAATCTTATCAAAAATGATCTACTCAAAGCCAAAACTGAAGAGGGGAGGGGTAATAGGAGACTGACTAAAAAGAGGTGTGGTACATGGCACCTCTTTCCGAAACCGCTTGCAGTTCCGAAATTATGAATGCTGAAACAAGAAGAGAGATAATGCGACCAACAGTCATACTTATTAGCCTCTGTGATTTTATTCACCTTCCCCCCCCCCCCTCCTCTCCCTCTCCCTCCGCCTTCAAGTCTTCTCTATGTCTGATGAGACCTTCAACTTTGATTCCATTTTCAAAGGCCTACCCTGAATGCGTAAATTCCGACTTGAGAGGAGCGCTGAAATTAGATGGTGTTATGCTCATGAATAGTATAATTAAAAATATATCATTTAGAAGTTTCACGAACTGTTTTAGCTGTAGCATCCATAGCAAGCATAGATCACAGCCAAATAAGCACGTGGTGTAACTACACACCGCACACCATCAGCGCACAAGAAGATTTTAACGTATCTCATTGTGAAGGCACGCCTTCTCGGTGTTTGGTGAACGGCGGAACGATGCTGTTTTCTTAGATTCTGGTTCAGTAGTGATGTCTTACGCCTAAATAGCTTTGCTTTGATGATGATAGTTGTTGTTTGCTTGAAACCTTCATGTAAATCACTGGAAATGGAAATACTAGATTAAAATCGTCGTGAAAATTTGAACGAAGTGGAAAAGGCAGAAGACTGCAGTATAGCCAGAGATCTGGACAATAAAAACGTCGTGGAGTAGAAAACACAAACTTCAGCAATCAAAATTTTCGACAGATTAAAATCTTATCACTGCCACACATGGAACACTAAAATATCGTTTTCGAAATTTTGTAAAAAGTTGTAGCTATGCGAGATAGTCATGAGATTATTAAGAAATTTTAAGATGAGAATGAAGAAAGCTTGTTGTCTATAAAAATGCATTGAAAATTCTCATATTGACAAGAAATCCGTCACTGAAAAATTGCTGAAAAAAGATACAATTGCATGTTTTCTGGTCGAAGACGAAGGAAATTGAACAAGCAAATAGTACAACCGACGGAGTGTAATAGGGCCTAAATGCAGCACTAGGCCATTATACGAAGTTCTGTAAACTTCCAGAGTAGGAAGTAAGTCCTATGTCCTTTTACAGTCACTAGATCTGCCTGAACTTTACTAAGAAGAACGACCTTACCGACTGTGTAAAAATGTCCGAAAAGAACTTTTTGTAAGAACTTACGTAACTATATGCGTGGTCATAGACATATAATAAAGCGGGTGATAGAAGAGCAGTTTATCTACAGCTGTAAAGTTAACAAAGCAGCCTGAGTACGAAGTGTACACTTTACGCAGAGGCAAATTAGAGCCACGAAAGTACCAAATGGGAGAAAGTCCAAGGACTGGAACCAGAAACTTGTTTCCAAAGCCCATTCGAGTTCGACATAAAATTGTCAGGATTAATCAACACTGTTTGTCAACTCACAAATGAATTAGACAATGCTGGCCTAGCAATTAAATTGATTTCACCTTCGAAGCACTTCCCACCTGCAGATAAGAAGATTTAGAGTTGGCAAAAAATCCTAAATAAATATTATCTTCAAGACTGTGGAAACGCATAACTGAGAAAAAAGGCGGTGCCGGTGTGTTCAAAACTGCCTAAAACAGGTCTCATCTTCTTACAGATCATCGTCAATCATATGAATATCTTTTGCAGTTGAAGATGAATTAGTTGAAGGCAATACAGATTTGATTGTTCTTAGAAACTTGAATTTCTACAGTACTCTATGCTGATTCAACATCTTTTACAAGAGTAATATACTTAATCGAAGTGATGATATGGGATGTATACGCATTCGTAGCTATCAAAAAGCAAATTTGAAATCTTCCTCTACTATAAATCCTCCCACTGTGGTCCGCCGCGGGGAGGCGCGAGGGAGGCCTGGGCGTCGAACTGCAATTTACAGTCGAGCGTGCACTCAGGTAAGGTCTCCCATGCTGTGAAGGAATTCGACGTTTCCGGTTTCGGCCGGTTGGTCAGCTAAAAGCGAATTCGCTCCACAGTCGAGGTTAGCGATCGCCCTTGAAATTCAACAGTAAGCCTGGTGAGTCTGCTCTTGTAAAGCGAAACAACTAATCCATCAGCTAGAAGAGAAGAATCAAACCCTGCGCATCGGATCCCGCGTAGGGCGCTGAGTGATAGCAAGAACGATGTCAATGCCCCTATGCCTTTTGGATCAAACAAACGGCACGTCTGCTCGGACGACATGCCATGGAAATTGCCTCCACACGCTCAGATAATCGCCGGGTGCAGGCGGTCCGCAAACTCGCGCTTTTCTGCAAGCGGTCAGCAGAATTTTGAGGCGTGGCCAAACCTTCAGCGAGCGGTACTTCCGCTTTCTGCAAGCGGTCAGTAACACAGAATTTTCTGCAGACGCTCCTCAAATAATCTCTTTCAGCAAACGCTGGCCGAACTTTCAGCAAGCGCTCGAACTCTTGTTACGCAGTTTCGGGCTTACGTCGAGCAAAGGTAAGACTCTGTGTGGCAGAGGTGTCACCGTTGGTTTAATTACTCAAGTTTGAGGTACTTTCTCTCAACGGAAAGTACCTGGGGGCTGCGCGGTCCTCCACAAAGGATCGTGCGGCCCTTAAAAATTTTGCATATTTCGCAAAAGGTCCGCGAGAATGCGGCCTGCGCCGCAGTTAATTTATAAAGAAACAGCAATTGTTCTCCAAATATTCGTCTAAAATTTCGCTAAAATTCTTTCAAATATCTGCAAGCGGACCGCAAGAAATCAGCAAACTATTTTTCTGGTGCCCGCCCGCCCATAAATCGCATGGCCGCCTGCCCCTGGCGATTAACTAGAGGCCGCCTTTACGCTGCTGACGCTTAGAGACCATATATCGCTCTGCAGGAAACACCAGGAAGAAAGACGTGCGTCGGATCAAATGGCTCAGCCCACCAATCGTACTTAGGATTCCTCTAAGATCTGATCGCACGACGCTAAGCAATGCAGAACGGTACATCCTTCTCCCCCCCCTTCGCGAATGGTACTCGCTTGAATCTTCAAAACGCAGATGAAGTCTTCAAATTAACTTTAACTGGTCGCACAAACGCTTATCAAATTACTCATGCGGGAGCTTGCCA